GTTTAACTCAACCTTAACACCTAGCATTTTCTTTGATGTTGAGTTAACTTTTGATTACAGTTTTACAAAGATCATAACTCAAAATTGTAAATCAACCAACACATTATAACTCAAATTTTAATTCAAAAATCTTTAGTTAATTAATGAAGAAAAATTTCAAAAAATACCACTTTTCAAGTGACACTCTACAAAAAAGCCACACTTTTGAAATTTTTACGAAAATACCATTTTTTAAAAATTATTTTTTCTTCATATTATTTATGTTTTGGTTAATTATGTTCTATTAAAGTTTAGTTATGAGGTTTTAGGGGGGTTTAGGGGTTAAAACATTTTTTAGTGTTTAGAATTTTAAGATATAGGGTTTAAAAATCTATAATTAGTGGTATTTTTTTGCAAATGAACACCTCTAAGTGGCATTTTTACAAATGTGCACATAAAAAGTGGCATTTTTACAATTTTTCCATTAATGAATTGGGACTTAAATATGAGAATATAAAATGAGGAAGCCCATAACACATAAAAAATAACTTTGATTTCACCAACTAATTTTCTATACGAACATTTTTCTCCCATAAATGAAAACTATAAAAACATGTACATAAATTACAACATATATGATAATAAAAGCAAAATTTTCTAAATAGTATTTGGTGAAATCAAGGTTTATAAAGTAATATAACTATTTAACATAAAATGAGGAACTTTTAAAGTTACAAAAGCTACACAATATATACTATTTGTTGGTCAAGATTTTCTTCATTTATATTTTAATTCTTATTTAGTGAATAAACTATCTTTTGAAATTCGAAGTAAATAGTTTTAGAATATATCATTTAAATTTTAAGAAACAGCAAAAATAAATTTTTATAGACAGATATTTTCCTTCAATTATTGAAAAATATTTATAAAACTAATTTTTTCTCTTATAAAATAGTTAATTAAAAGCAAAATTTTCCAATTAGTATTTAGTATTGGATTTATATAGTAATGTAATTATTAAACACATTATAAAAATTGAGTTTGTCTTGGTAAAAAGAGCAGAGAAACAAACTAGGGGCAATCAAAATTGCAGATCGGAAAAAATGTGTTGCTTTAGTTGTTTCGTCGGATCCCAAAAGAAACAACGTGAAGAAGAAGAAAGAAACACTTCTGCCGAAGCTCGTCTCAGAGCCATGGAAGCCGCCATGCGAAGGTTTATCTCTTTTGCTCTATTTTTTCCGATTTTGAATCGTATTTATTAAAATCGATCATTTAGGGTTTATAAATCTTCAATTCATTTAATGGTAAGTTTATTCGATTATGAAATTATATGGATTTTGTTTTGTAATTGAAACGTAGAGCATGCGAGTTTCAAAAATCCGCAGCGGGAAAAGCTGCACAAGCTCAAATGCAGCAAATGGCTAAACAAAAAGCTATGAATAAAAAACTATAATTTGTAGTGTTTGATTAAGGCACTAACTGGTAACTCATTAATGTGTAGAATTTGAAGAATTTATATAATTTATAGAATATTGTCAYCAGTTATCGTTGAAGAATTTAATAGAATTTGTAGAATTCTACAAAGTTGAAGAATTTGTATAATTGATAGRATTGGTTCAATAATCACTAACGGACCAAAATGAAAGAATTTGTGAAGAAAAGTTGGACAAGTGGGAAACGTTCACGTGAAGAAAGAGATATTTTTCATAATTGAAAAAAAACATTCACGGGAAACATTCACGTGAATAAGCAAGCCATTTGGCTATAAAATCAGATTGAGCGAAACAAACACATTC